GCAACGATTACTCACCTTGGCAGGCGAAGGACCTCTAACCAGAGGAGGTGGCGCTCGATTCTTGGGGCTCGCTCGAGGTTCTTCTTCCTGAGGTGCCGGCCCTGCCTGCTTTGCAAGGTTTCTCAGAGCGGCGGCAAAACTCCTGCTATTCTGTTGACCACCCGGACCCGGCCCAGGGGTATGACCCTGAGGTAAAACGCCAGAACTGGGTCTGTGAGACTTGCTGATCGTGGTGGGTTGCGCTTTGGTGCTAGCAGGCTGGAGACCTAAAACAGACCAAGAATTAGGCATTAGATTTCACGCAGCCACTCACTCGCGAAGCAAGCCAAACGACGAATTTAATTTGAAAAAAGTTCGAAATTTTGATCATTTCCTACTATTTAATTTTAAGTTTACCTTTACTCTTTATACATATCAATTCGACTCATCTCCCTTGTAAAATCCTGCATTATTTTGCAATATGTAAGTACAGCTACAGAGATGAGACATTGTATGACATATTTTTTTTTTTTCGATATTTTCGATAACAAGTACAGTGTGTCGCTAAAGTTGAAGATAATATTCGCTGTCGGAGTATTTGAAAGACAATACGTTGCATTATAATTGTTACATTACAATTATATCACTATTTCGAAGACATGTAAATAGTTATAACAAGTGAAAATCCAAAATGATCATTATGTTAGACTAAGATAAAACGAAATTAAACACATAAATTGAATAGAAATTCAACTGTTTATCTCTTCAATATATTAGCAATTTATTATCAATAATATGTCATATGTATGCAAAAGTTTGTAGTCTAGTTCTACTCGTAGCTTTTATAGAAAAAGGTACGCAAAAAAAAAAAATTTAATTAATTTGATGACATTCCAAAACTATTAATTTTTTACTCCATAAATTTCCCTTTTTGAAGTAAAGATATCTCCGCGCAGATACGTTAAAATTTTTGCAAAATTTTGTGATTCACAATCTGTTCTTCGTTTCTTGCAAAGATCAGGTGCATATTACTTAACATAATCGAGACGTTCTCGAATTCTACTTTTTATCAGATCCACAACTTCTAGCGACACACAAATATTCAACTCTGATCAAAATTCCGAATTATCGACGAATAATCGACATCTACAGTAATCTTTGCAAAGTATGGTTTAATCGAATTTGGAAGTTCGCGAGTTACTATACAGTTAATGTAATAATATGACAGCGCATAAATATCTGAACAGTAAAAATCGGAAAATACAATACGCTAATTTAATCTTCAATATATCGATAGTCGATAAATGTTGATGAAAAGAATAAGTAATATTACACTAACTAAGGACTCTGTGGAATGATTTTAAATACGATTGAAATACCGTGTCTCTAAACCGCGTTGAAAGAAAAAAAAAAAAAAATAGATTTTACGTCAGCCATTTATTATAAATGAATATGAATCTTGAATGCGCAGAAAGTTAACGACAGGAACGTTCGTCAATCGTAATTGTCGCGACGTAACAAAAATATCAAGCTTTTAATGGAGTTTCACTAAGTGTCCAATTATTTATTGTGGCATACGTATACGTGCCGTTTTTTCTAACTATTAAAAACACGAAGAGATACTTCATATTCAAAAGTTGCTCGACTCAATTAAGTAAATTCAACGATGAAACAAGAAAATTTCTTTCAAGCTTTTTTACAAGCTTTCAACCCAAAATTCGCCCCTCGCAACTATGGTATTTTTGACTCACTGTGGCTGTTTTCGAATCGCGAGATACTCTTCGCAAATATACCGAACATTCCTCGCGAATACTTCTCTCGCGGTGACGTAGGTTTTAAGCATTGTCGATCGCGCTCAACGTTCCTTGAAATTAATTACGCAAGTCGTGGTACGAATAATATTTCAAATCCATTGGTACGACGACGCTATCGTCGTTATTACATTTATAATTAAACGACTGATGCGATGCCAGCAACGTGTCCTGTCCTTAGAATCTCCGCAAAACGAAGGTGCAAAAGAACGTCGAGATCGGCGAGTTTCATTCAGCAACGATCACGATATGTCGCGATCAAGTAAATCAATTTTTTCATCGCAACGTTATTGCGACAGCTTTATTATCTGCAATGATGTCAATCGTCTAATCGCGATTTAAACGCGTCGAATAAAAAGCGAAGGTTTCCTTATGAAAGTAAAATCGTTCATTTGATTTGTTGACAGTGGACTTTGTCGATCTCAGGTTTTTCTCATTAGAAGCAACATGTATAATTCACCGAGGCGACGACGACGGCCACAGCAAGGAGACGCATTCAAACAGGCGATAATAAAATATCGTTTCGAGCGTCGTGCGTCGATTATTTTCTTCAAAACTGCGCGAGAACGACAACCGATAATACGACGATAATGCGACGATAAACGTTAACGATACTTAACGCATTATTGTCCAATGCTGCCGGTGCGGCGCAATTACTACTACTTTTTCGTGTAATTCCCGCGATTATTTTATACACGCGGCGTTCGAACGATATGGTGGTTTCCTTTCTCTTCGTTTTCTCCCTTCCAACGATCGCTCTTCTTTCTCGCTTTTCATCGACGACGAGAAAGAAGGGAAAGCGGTTCTTCGGAACTGTTTGCCAGCGATACGAATCTGGGATTCCACGGGGAACTCGGATGAAAAGAGTAAGCGGCTCGGAAGAGCTTTCAAACCAGATCGATCTTCATCGAAAAGACGCCAAAGCGTGAATTCATTCTTCCCGCGGTTTGCTCTTTTTTTTTTTTTCAGCTCGCTTTACCGGTTCTCCCATCTAGTCGATTTTTTCTACTTCTTCCTCTCTCTCTCTCTCTCTCTCTCTCTCTCTCTCTGTCTCTCTCTGTCTCTCTCTTTTCCCTTCCCTTTGAATCAAGAACGAGATAGGACATCCACGTCGACATCCGGGTGGTCCTTTGTCTGGGACGGTGGTTGCCAAAGGAAGAGACGACGAACGGACGGTTCCTCTGTCCCTTATCCGCGTTTTGCCGGTGGCTCACCAGCGAGAGACGCGCGTGCGCGCGAAAAAGTATCCCTCCCCCTCCCCCTCCCTCACGCCTCTCCGGTTAAAACGAGAAAATAACAGGCAGAGAATACCACCCGGTGGCTATCTCTCTTTCTCTCTCTGGCCGGTGATTCCGAGGATGGTTTTCACCCTCCATTCAATTCCTCGTCAGCAGAGCGCACACATCTTCGTTTCCTCTCAACGGACGCGCGACTATTCCCCTCGGTCTATCCCCGCTGGTTTCCTCTGCGCTTCGCGTGCACAGCAGCAAGCAGCACCCCATATCGCCTTTTGCTCTTGGCCTGTCCTCCTCCTCCCTCGTTTCGAAACACTCGGTTTCTTTTCATTCCTCAGCTCCTTCGATCTTCGAACGTTTGCCTCTCACATCATTGCATTAAAACGCGCTGGCACGATCGAAGCTGAATATGCCAAACGAATCTTCACCAGATGAACTGGAAATGAAGAGCAGCGCCTCCGCACGTTGGAAAACGGTCGAGCGAATGCAAGCAACTCCGGAGGGGAGAGGAGGACTGTGCGTTTCGTTCGAATCTTCGATTTGCAGGTGGTAAGCGGGAAGCTTTTTCGCGTGGCTGTCCGCAGATACGGCGATTCTCCGGTAGTCGGAGTCGTAAAGCCGCGGGGGAGGGAAGGAATAAAGAAACGTGCGTGGATGGTTCTCAGCGGAGCTTGAAGCTGGAGGGGAAAGAGGGGAGGACCTGGAAGGGAGAGCAAAGGGAAAACGACGTTCGCCAACGCGAACGACGCGCAGTGCAGGGTGGGTTGACTCGACGTCGGAAGCACAAGGATTCCAGCGAGTGGAAAGGGTGGTAGAGGGTGGTGTTAAGCGGCTTACAGTCTGTTACCATGGTAACGCCACACCACTAAGACAGGAAGAACCCGTGACCCTTTCCGTGTATAGTGTGTACACCCTGCTTGCGCCTCCCCTCTCCCCTCTCGTCCATCGATGCTCCCATCCTGCGGGAGAACGAGGGAGGAAACCAGAACGCGCGCGATACCGCCACGACGACTAAAGAGCCACGGGATTACGCCACTGACTCTGTTTTTGCACCAAAGTGTATCCACCAAACTCCCGTACAACATCGAGAGGCTGGAACCTCGGTGATTCTCGGGCCTCGCCCCGAATCGACCATCGTCGACCTGAAAACTCTCACGATATATCCGTGAAACAAACGCGATCCAATCGGTTGACAACACTGTCGTGTCGCGTTAACGATCAATTTTCAGTTCATCTCTCGAAGAAAACCCGTGCCAATTTTGCCCGACTGCAAGAAGCCAAGAGCACGAACAAAGGAGATAAAAGCGTATGCGTGAGACACTTCCGGCCTAAACGAGTAATCGTTTAAATTGGAATTGCCAGCTGGGAATATATAGGCGAGCATCGTCGAATAGTAGTTGGCCTCCGCGTTGCGAAATATCGTGCGTGATTAATGATTTCGTCGAATGCGTCCTGTTGCGCCTGGGTCGAACTGCGTGTTTCCAAATTCGAAATTGCGAGATAGATGTGCCGCTGTTTATCGATAAAGGAGGCAGGCATCGCGAACGACGCTTGTCGAGTGAAAAGAAATACGAACGTTAATCATTCCTCGAGAGTATTCGAAATACGACGAATAACACGTTCCACGTGCCCGCCGAGATATAAACCAAGTTAGTCCGTTCACGTTCATTCGGATTTTTAAGAATACAGTTTTTCAGAAAATAGAATCGCGAGAGATAATTATTATTTCATAGTGTAATTATTGTGTGAAATTTCGCGCTTTGAAATTTGCCACAAATGCATGAAAATCCGCAGTCTACAGGTTTCTTCAAACATTCTCAATTGGGTCGTATTGCTTGATTTGCTTTTTTACATTAGAATTGTATGTTTGCAGTTGCAGTGTTTTACATCTTACTCAGAATCTTATTTATTGGTATGTTAGGAACGATGCATGGAAAGAACAATTAATTATACTTAGGATATTTATGGAAAAATTTAGCACACATAATAATGCAACACATAAAAACATAACGCAGATAATATCCAAAAAAGAATTATAACATTAATTATAATACAGTGTAAAATAAACAATTTTTTACTTAATTCCATTTCTTCGATTATGTGAATGTTATTGAAATTCAAAAATGCATAAAAACCTATAATTATATTATAATTAATTAATTTTTCATTCTTCCTACTTATTCTTTACAGGTGAAAATTATTAGTAAGAATGATTAAACCATTAAACAGTATATTCCACTTTTAAAAATATCCTAAG